TGTCTGTCTGTCTGTCTGTCTGTCTGTCATCCAGATATACGGAGTAAAAGGGCAACAGTGTACAGCCGCTGCTCCTTCACAGTGCCCAGGCTCTGACAAAATATCCCATCAACCATTGCAATCAGCCCCATCATCCAGAGGAGTGCAGCAGTGAGTCGTTTATAAGCCCGGCGCTGATCACTCTCGCAGTGTCCATAAGGGAGCAAGAGTGTACAGTTGATGGAAAATACCATGATGTACTGTAACAGATAAAGCCGTTGTTCACAGTGATAAAGAAGCCTGGCTGGTGTTTTGAGTCTCAGAAGTGAGGTATATGTGACTACGATGACCTGGATGACTGAGAACCTTCACAGACATATATGTGACCGCACAGCTGATGGGCAATGTCTCAAACAAACATGTTGGGATGCTGGTAGAAAATCATTTGTGTAACTTGTAATCGCTGTGTATCTGCACTTATACACGCGTAACACAACGACATAGCAGCAGGAAACTGAAATTTGAATGAAAAGATGGCAAACATATAAATATGTATATATAGGTATAAAAGATTCCGTTTCAACAAATTGCTTTAACTGTTGTCCTCTCCAGGTGGGTGCGCTGTGCCTGCATGCAAGCCTTTCTCATAATCAACAAATTATCGGCATCCAGTCTAAACTGGGGAATACCTATCACAGATAAGACATGACCACAAAGCCCCAAATTTGTTTCTGGAGCAGAACAGCGTGATCTGAAGCGCCACTAAATGCAATTATCTAGCTCCTGCACTGCCACAAAGTAGACAGGGAAACATACTGAAGCATGTTTGCTTGTCTAAGATAATTTGGAGTTTTGTGGCGTGTGGAAGGTGCGGGCAGCCTCTTTCTTTAGTTTTATCCAACCGGAATGAAAGCGTCAAAGTCACTGGCGTGCTCCTGTATTAACGATAAGAACTGTATCCCACAATAACAGGCTCATTTAACAAATACGGCACAGTGGGCTTCTATTTTTAAAACCATATGTCTATTCAAATTATATGTTAGGCGTTTATTTTAGTCATAGCAGTGGTAGGCATGTCCTGGCGGAATCTCATTAATATTAAAACTGGGAACTAGTTAAATGGATCTGATTTCATTTTTTTCCTATTGTGGTGCATGAATTTATCTTCAACGTGCTCCGGCTGGCGTTGGAAGTAGTTCCGGTGGTTTAGCAGCCGAGCGGAGCACTGAGACCCGGGATCTTTGCGTTGATGAGCGCAAATGCGAATAGCGGGTCGAGTCCTCCAGTCTTGACTTGTCGACTGACCACAGCAGCGGTCAGTTTGACGCCTGCAGAGCGCCGTGCGCACGCAGCCAGAGTGACAGCGCAAAGGCACCACAGGAGCTTTTTTTTATGTGTGTGTCTGTCTTCGAAGGGGATTTTCAAGTGCAGAACAGCGTCTGGAGCTGCTTGAAGCAGAGTGCACAAATTGAGCCGGTTCTCGTATTCGCGTGCGACGGTGAGTAGTCCGTTCACAAGAATGTTTGAATATGTTGCTCATTAGGATTTGTGACAAATGATCGCACAGCGGTGGTGCTCAAAGCCAGCGGTTTTTGTTTTGTTTTTGTTTTTTACTTAACGGCAGGCCATGACAAGTTCGCTGTCTGTGACAATATGAATGCATGCAAGCGTTGCATTGTGCCGTTATACCACGTCTGCTGGATAAAGTCAACTTCCCTAAGTTATTATCTCGATGCTACCGTCGGCACAGCCAGGCTGTCTGCTTACAAGACTGTTAGGAAAGTGGTGCTTAATGGAACAATTATCCAAGCAGTGAATTGTACGGGACGCGCAATACGCGGAGGACAGTGCCGGTCAGAGATTTAAAATAAAAGACTTTTGAAGTGATAACAGGGGAAGCATGAAGCCTCGCAGCAGAGGCTTACAGAAAGCTGAGCTCCACAGCGATGCAGTGGTCTATCCATAAAGCAGTTCAATTGCTTTATGTTTGATATATAAATATATATAATAGCGAATCAGTTATGCATTAACAAAACACATTAATCTTGTAGCTCACATAACAATGGAAGGAAAAAGTAGTATAAGGAAAAATGAGCCTTTTTCCTTGTAATTGGCATTGTTTAACAGCGTGAGGTATTTTATAAAAGTTTAGATTATATGAACACTGGCAGTGTGTCAGTAAGAAGCTGTCTGTCAGTGTTTGTAGATGCTGATGTCTTTGTTCGGTCGTGGATTTCAGAGCCTCTCCGTGTCAAGTTTAAGAGAATGTATTAAGGATATTTAATGTATATTGTATTAAGACTTTAAAAAAAAGACCTAACCCTGATATATACTTTATATATATTGAGAGGGAGAGTATGAATTTACTGAATACTTTAAAATAAATGATTTGAGCTACTTGAAGATATTAACAGTTTAGCTGATGCAGACACAGCTGCCCTTGAGCCATGCATGCAGATGACTTTTCTTTAGTTTTCCAGCGAGCTGAGTTTGGTGATGGTCCAGTTTTGCTCATTCACTGTGGATTTCTTTTCTATAGGCTGCCCATGAAGACACCATAGCTTTAACATCAAAGGTAACCGTCTAATACCGACAGGACTCTTTATCTTACATTATGCTGCAGTATCTTTAGCTAGCCAGTACTATACAACTTCATCTCGCCAAAAATATTCAGACAAGGGGAGTTGGGGTTTGTGTGTGTGCGCGCGTGCTCGTGTGACAGACTGAGGAAGCGTTAGAAAGAGAAAGCCCTGCTCCTGATTTGGATGCGTCTCTAATTCCTATCAAGATGAGAGCTGTCTGAACAGATTTCTCTCATCATTATTTGCTCTGAGATTTACTTGTGCTTGTAAATGGTGTTGATTGAGGGTAATTTGGCTTTTTAATTGCTGAACAGCTGCCACACTCACTGCTGATTGCCATTGTAGACTTTCTCAGTAGATCACTCATAGACCCCTAAATGCCTCATTAAAACGTTATGCAGAATCTCATGAAACGTGGCGAGAAGGAACCCTTCATAATGTTTTACTGATTTGTGTTTTATCATCAGAAAGGTCGTTGTAATTATCGTCAATGTCAGCAAATGCAATGCCAAGAACCGAGTGTAGTAATGACTTTTTGAAAGTTGAATTAACGGGCTATTTGTGGATGCACTACAGGCGTTTCAGTCTCTTTGATAAAGATGAACTCCATATGCCAGTTTTCAAATCGTATCTGCCTGTCAAAATTTTGATGTTGTCTGTCTGCATATTCATTATGACTTGTAATATATTCTTTTTGCGTGACTTCACAAGACGTGTTGAGCAGCCAGGCTTTCTTCTCAGTGTCTGCCAAGAATGATTTGCCTCCCAATTAAAACGTGATGGAGTTTGAGACGCAGAACTTCCCACAAATTTGCGACAAAAGTGGGCTTTGTTAAGCAGTTTATATCTCTTAAGAAACCTACACTTGGTCTTTTTGCGTCACCCTGTTGAATTAAAAAAAGAAAGAAAGAAAAATTACAGTACACATACACACATCCTCAGCATTAAAGCTGCTGACAGAAAAAAGTGAATAACACTCATCGCAGTGCAGTATTGTGCTGGGAAACCTTGAGTCCTGGCACTCCTGGTGTTGACATTACTTTGACACATACCCCACATCTAAACATTGCTTCAGACCGACCACTGCGACACAGTGATGACTCTCCCTGACAGCAAGCGCTTCTCCCAGCAGCACAGTCGGCCCAGAGCACAACCCAATCCCAAATGGAGGTCCCAGTCCCATCAAGGGTGAGCGGGATGTTGGGGAGCAAATCATGGAGAGGCCCCACATCCGGCAGCGAGACATTACAGGGCAGCTCAAGAGATTCCGTGTCCAAAGTGGGCTGTTAAGTTGAATCCTGTCTCATCTTAACATTTTTATTTGAATCTTTTCATCCATTCCACCGAAAACCACCATCTGTGATGTACTCACTGCTCTGATTTCAACAGTTCAGTCACTGCTAACCAGTTCTTCCCATTTCATTTTTCCCCCTTACCATCAGGGTGATGATGTCGCTGTTGCGGCATCTTCGATATCATTCAGCTTCTCTAGTAAGTTTGTCCTGCGGTCAGATCTACTCCGACTCCACCATCTTAGACCGCAGCCGATGGTTCTCCTTGTTCTGCTGCGAGCTGGAGAGCCACACCAGCCAGAGTCTGCTGCAGGCGGAGAACTGCAAAGCAGAACAAGAACTACGATCGACAGCTGGAGTCAGAAGAGTTGGGAGTCTGTCAGTGGGATGAAACGCTCTCTGGAGAGGCAGTTAAATATACTGCTTCGATATTTATTTGTCAGAAAGCGGCAATTAAAGTGTTTGCGGAGAGGCACCTTATATGCGCTATTAATTAATAATGCATTAACAGAAAAAGAAAAGCCCCGCTGCTACTGCCACAAATAGAATCTGTGGGAAACGCTGTGTCGGGACAAGCGGCAACTTTACGCATGAGGCAGGTGGTTTTATTGTTCTTGCAGATTGGTGTAGAATCAATCCCAGCATCCTGGTGCCTGGGCGGTGCTCATATAGAGTTTTGCTTTATTGATTAAACCCAGCATGATCAGTGTTAGCACGCATTATTTCAGTCTTTTTTTTCTCTTTTTTTTTGCAGCTCATAAGTAAAATCCAATCTCTTTGACGTGCTGTGGAAAAATATTTTGCCTGAATTTACAGCAGCATTGACGCCTGTAAGCAGACACACTGTGTGCTCGCCTTATTACACATGTGCTGTTAAAGACGGTCGGTGTTTAACCCTGGAAAGATCTGTTTGCTTAATGAAGAACTTAATAAGTAACAATATGCTTTTAGCAAACACAGACACCCACGCTCCTCTGTTACACAGATTGATCCCTGAGAGCCATCTTCCACTCTTTATCGTGGACACTTCCGCTAGAGGGGTTGTAATTTAGCTGCCTTGCTCGAAGATAGCGTGGCAGTAGCTATTAAAAGAGGTGAGGAGGTGGTCTCGTTTGGTTTAGCAAGAAAACCCTTTAATCTGCCTCTGTAATTACCAGGCCATTACTGCGTTACTAGGGCATCAGGTCACTTTAATTACCTCCGGTCAAATCAATAATCAACTGTTTAAATAATTAAAGTGATTGCTTAGATGACCCGATGTTACCCGTAGATATGAAAAGCGTCATGCCCTGGCTGCTATACATTGATTAGCCACAAGATTAAAACTGGGGTGACCACCACCCCATCAGCCTTGTACCTGAGCATCCTGCTTGATCTGATTTGGATCTGGGGAGCTTTGAAAGCCTCGGGGTCTCTGTGGTGTTCCTTGAGCCGCTTCTGAGCTCTTATGCCGATGTGGCGAGGCGTCATGTGCTGATGTGCTGTCTTTTGCTGTAGCAAAGGGGAGGGAGCATGGTCTGCAATCATTTTTAAGTGGGTGGCATATTTGAAAGTAACATACACATGAATGCAGGAACTGAGGTTTCCCAGCATTACGCTGCATTGTAATGAGATGATTATTAGTCATACTTGATAGCTGTTCATTTCCCCTTTTAGTTGTTTTTATGTTTTGGCTGATATACATATCTACGCAGATGATGTTTGGCAATCTAACGCGGCGGTCTCCGTCGTCTGGCTGGGAAGGCGATATTTTCGACAAGGCATTAGAGCAGACTTTCTCTCTTTTTAAGTCCCTCTAAGTTCCCTGAGTGCTCCCAGTCACTGTGATTTTTTGTCATGTCCCCAGGAAAGTACACATAATTTGAATTCGAATGTAGCAAATCCTTTTATCTTGTCAAAATCCTCTTTGATTCTGTTAGTAAAAGCATTGCTATGATTTGGAGGGGGAAAGAAAAAAGAAAGATAAGTAAAAGATAAGATAGGGGATGATCACTTTTAAAGGGCCGTCATTTGGATTGAACTCGCCAGCAGCGTTGCCTGCAAGACGAGAGATGCAAAGCTTCCACTGCTAACCTGATGTAAAGCTTGCATCTTGCACAAGCTGAGAGCGCTCTGCTACTCTGGTTAGGTTTTAATGAGTAACAATTGTTAGCCAATTTGCATGTAAAACAATGCAATTATAAACAAGCATCAAAAAGCTGTAATACTTCTAAAAAATGTAAATGACTCTCCATTATAAAGTGCAACAAAACCTAAGCCATGCCTCCAAGCCAGGGCCTCTAGGTTTTTGGATGCTTGCTTCCATTATTAATGCTATTCACAAGCCAAACTTTTTAGGTTGGTGCAGTTGGGCGCTTTAATCTATTTTTGCTGTAAATTAATGAATTTTTAAAGAGGACTAGTCCTCGCTGAATAGGGCTGGATGTGGGAATGTAGTTTTGAGTCGTGGTGACGCAGTGCTATAGCCCTCTTTACTGTGCGAAGCGTGAGTTCACAAACAGCATCCCATCGCTCTCTCGGGACCTTTCGTTGGGGGATTTTTCCGAAATGCTGCACTCCTATGTTTTATTTATGACAAAATATGCCTTTTTAACTTTGCCGTTGTCAGAATCTGGAATTTTGATAGCTCTTTCCTAGTTGGTGCTAGTAAGTCTTCTGGGTCGCTAACTCCCTCTACCTTGGCAGATGTTTTCAGGTGTAATGTTCTGTGTGGGCTTAGCGAGTTAAATATTTTATTCTAGGCCTTGAGGGATTCAGTGGAACCTACTGATTTTTCTTGCCTTCTTTCAGTCAGGTTTTCTTTCAGACTTGAGAAAAACAGTGTGAGTCAGTAATGTTCTGTTTCAGTAGCGATGCCACCGGATTGACTCGGTTGACACGAGCCAGCCAGCAGGTTTCATACACACACACACACACACACACACACCCAGAGGAAAAAAAAATGATTAAAGTGTTGTTCTGTTATGGATAAATTATTATCCTTGGTATGAATGTATCCACTTTTTTTTCTTCTTCTTCTTTCTTTCAAACTTTCATTTTCCTGACCACTCTCTTCTTTAAAGACTCAATGTATCTCACTGTGTAACAGTGCGTTACATCGATGCCTCTCCAGGTCTCCTTTTAAAAACAAGTAGACAGTATCAAGTTATAATTGCTTAACCCAGCTCCATTGAGGGATAAGGAAACAGCCACTGCGAGGGCATCTGATTTGCCTTGATATCTCATAATTGAACCTTTTCAGGGGTGTGCTTTCTGTGCTGAAGCAGAAAGTAATTAAGATGTTCAATACGGGTTTTTTGGACCTTTTCCTTCTTCCTTTGAATGGCCCACACTTTGAGACATGACAGCGCTCAGTGTGCCTACAGACTTTTCTTTTGACACATTAGCCTTACCCTTGCCAAGGCAGTCCTTCCCAGAAACCCCCTCTGCTCTGCACGCTCCGGGTGGGTATTTTGTCATTACTTCATTTTCCTCTGAAAATATTTTGATGCCTCTTTCCTTTTGGCTCCCTCCTCCTCCCCCCAGCCCACCTCGCTTTCTCTCACCCATCCCCCGTCACTCCATTCAAAGTTCTCTATTAAAATGCAGAACTGTAAAGCCTCTCTCAGTCTAAAAGCCTGCTAGCAGCAGGGGACTGTTAGCTGTTAGTGATGCATACAGCTGAGTGAGTGCATCACAGCTACAAAGTCTAATGGGTGAATACATTCAATCACACACATACCCTCAACTCTTTTAAAGGGACAATGTTCACAGTCATGAAAGCTCTATCCACAGTGCAGAGAGTGATGCGTTTAAATTCTTAGGAGGAAAGAGATTTCTTGTTCATAAATGTCTAAATCCTTGCTTTTTAAAAAAAAAAAATGCTTGTAATCTCTTCTTTAACTGCCAACTAATATATCACAACTGTCACACTAAGAAAGTTAATATTTTACATTCTTCTTTTTTTGTTCTTTGATGGGTGAAAGATAAGAAATCTAAAATATCTTGTTTTTTAAGCGTAATGCAAACCGCTTCTGTCTCTGAATATGCACAACCATACTGAAACCCTGTTTAATGAACCCGTGCCGTTTCTGTGTGATCCTCTGCCAGAATCTTCTCATTTCATCGCCACCTTTATTTCCTCTTCAACAACAGTCTCTTTGAAATAGATCTTGTCTGTATGTTGTTTTTGATGTTTCCTGAAGAGGGATGCAGAGTTCAGCCTTGTAAGGTTTTGACAAGTATCAGCAGGAATTGTGTTGTTTGCATCACTGCCCAGTCACCGCATTAGAAGTAGCGCAACAAGAAGAACCTTTTTTTTTTTGGGGGGGGGTGCTTTTTCTGATGGAGAATTTTATGCCATCATCAAACGGCAGACATAAGTGAACTATATGGGGTTTTTTATTCAAGTATTTGAACCAAAGGAGCATTAGCAATACTCAAACTCTGCCACTGTACATCATTTTAGAAAGTATGCACTGCTTTTTCAACATAGAAAACCATGGACAATTACTTGTCATGAATAAACTGTCCTTTCTGATAACATATTTGGCACTTTTTAATAGAGTCTAGCACTCAAACACGTATGCATTCGGTGTAGTATAGTGTATTTCTACAGAAGGCTGATGTCTCCCTGATCGGCAGAGATATACAGTGAGATCTCTTTTCTCCAGTTATCACTTTTCTTCCTTGATCCCTGTTGTGAAACACAGTCGATATCATAAAATAAAAGGCACAGTGCTGAGGTTAGCTTAGTCACCGTGGGCCCAGTTGACTGAGCCGACTAGGTAATTGGTTGCGTCTACCCGCCCAGCAGGGCTCCTCTCCCCAGAAGCCAAGTCAAGTCTTCTCTCTGTGCTCTCTTCTATTACTCATCATCCCAACACCTCACTATGCTAGCGGTGCGAAGCTACACCGTGCCACCGTGCAGCCAGCCCACGCTCCCAAAACTTCTCAACAACAGCAGCCACGGCAGGTCGAGGCTTGTGGCAGGCTGATTTGCAGCTTGAGCCTCCTTTTTAATGAGGGGAAAATAAGTACTTGTTGTTCTGTGTCTTGTGTGTCACCACCCCCTTCCCCACATACCCTGCACCACTGCAACTAGTAATGCTACATTCCCTTTAGCAAAAAAAAAAAAGAAACAAGAAGAAGGTGCACTAATTAAGATAGCTTCCTGGGATTTCGAAGAGGGGGTTGGAAGAAGCTTCTCCCACAGTGGCAGGGCCTTGAGGAGGGGGACAGGGGTAGTTTTGTGCAAAAAGCCTCATCGGGCACATCTCTTCTGTCAGTGCCGCTTTCCTTGCACTAGTCCCCCCCTCCACCCCTTGCCTGGGTTGTTTAGCTTGATGAGTCTGGTGCTAAATATGTATTTTTTTCCATGTGTAATTAAGCAGGGTTTTGCAGGAGCTGGGCATTTCACTTCTTTTCCTTCCTTGTATATTTTGCTCTCCAGGGGGATTGGTGAAAAGACAGACAGAGGGGTTTGTGTTCGTCTGTACGTTTGTGGTGGTAGGCAGGCTCATTGAAGTTCTCCCACCTTGATTATATACAGCATGAATGGAGACTGTGCGTGGGCCAGTGGGCTCTTTGTTGTTCAAGGACATTGGAAGGTTATTTCGCAGGATGTTGATAAAGGTTTGGCTGTAGATTTCTGTATTAGTAAGAGATTGAATTCATCCAACCATTATTAACTATTCAGACTCTGGGCCTCTGAGATTTACCTGTATCTCTTAGAGCGTATGTCGTTCCTTCTTGGTGCTCGCACGAAACGAGAAACTGATCTTGAATCAGAGCGAGGTTTGAATGCAGCATCTTCACTCCTGTGATGAGTAACAGTTACATGACATTCTCAGCCCAAAAGTGACAAATCTACAAATGTTCTGTGACTGATTGAAGTACAGAACAATTGGTGAGTAATTTCTCTTGGGTGTACCAAACAATTCCCTTTGTTTTGTCCTGAATCACGCTCAAAGTGCCCACTTCCAAAAAATAGTTCAGTCTCTGTGTAACAGAAGGTACAGTTTTAGGTCCAGTGTTGCTCTAAAAATAGCTTCGAAAATCAAATGTTGAGGGTTATTGAGGTTTCATTTTTTGGGTCTGCCTGGCAAGGACCTGAAACCCTGAGGGGGGAGGCAGTGGGGTGGTTGTGGACTTGACAGAAGAGTGAGGCACGTCGAGAGTCTGAGAATTAGAACACCGAGTGTGTGTTTCCGTGCGTGTACGCGTGTCTGTGTGGAGGGGTAGTCAGAGAGGGGAAGGGGACGAGCCTTTCGGCTCCTCCAGAGGGTTGGAATTCCTCCCGAGCTGTTCCCCCCATTTGGCAGGCACTTGTGAAAACAATTCCCCAGCTTTTAGTCACTCGGCAGATCCAATTGCCATTTCCACTTTGGAGGGAATGAGAGTGCGAGGCAATCCAGATAGACAGAACACAGAGAGAAAACGAGAGAAGAGTTTTAATCGGGTTGGACAGATGCCGAGGCCAGTTGAACGGTTGTGCGATATTAATATCTTATGAAGGATGTCTGGCAGTCCAAGCTCACCGTCTTGTGTGCTTTGTGTTTGTACGTTGCAGCAGCGGCCATTACAGAGGCTAAATGAAGATCTTGTGAACATGCACGAGGGACGAGCTCTACCTTTCACTTCGGTGACTTCCTCAGATGCTGTGGCCCAAAGAAAGATGGAAAGGAATGGGAAGAGTAAGAAACTTACCTCTTACCTAGTCCCCCATGCAGCTTTGCTTATCACTGTATAATTAATGCAATGAAACAATTTGATTAAAGTTTTTGTTTGTTTGTTTTTTTCATATCCATAGCTCACGGTGCATATCATATTTATTCACACTGTGACAGAACAAGTGAGCAACATGCCAAAATATTTAGTTTTCCATTATACAGCGCTGCACTGTATGCAGAGAATATTCTGCAAGTTAACATCTGTGTGTGTCTGCCAAGTGTTCTTTCTGCTCCAGCTAAAGGAGATGAATAGGCATAGTAAATAAACCTCCTGCTCTTCTAGGCTTGAGCCAAGACTGCTGCACAGAACCCATTCAGTGAGCCAACAGGAGATCCTCCATACGCCAAGTCCCTGAGCCGTGCATCTTCGCTTTTGACCCCTGACCCCTGACAAGACAAACACTATGACCTCTGAGCTGGAGAGCAGCCTTACTTCAATGGACTGGCTTCCCCAGCTCGGCATGAGGGCAGCCATTCAGAAGGCCGACACGGGACACCACCATGGCCACCACCACCACGGGCACCACCACCACCACGGGCACCATCACGGGCACGGACCTGGCAAGAAAATGGTACATTTGGACCCAGGAACAACACTGGACCAAGAGGAAGCAGCACAGCACAGAGATGGTAAACCGCCCTACAGCTACGCCAGCCTCATCACCTTTGCTATCAACGGCTCACCGCGCAAACGGATGACCCTCAGCGAGATCTACCAGTGGATCTGCGACAACTTCCCTTACTACAGAGAGGCAGGCAGCGGATGGAAGGTAGGACAGGATATAAAAACTGTGTGTTTTGTTCTTGTTGTCTGCAGGTAAACTGGTTCTAATGTGAGTCTGATTTCAGAATGGGAATTTTTTTTCACAAATTATGATGGCTAACAGTTTTGTAATATTTTATTTATTCAATGATTTATTTAGGTCTGTCTTTCAGCATCTTTGTATGTCAAATTTATAGCGAAGCTGAAAGGATCCAAAAATGCTCCAGGTCTGATCATGTGGTACATCACCAGCCTAGTATAAAGATTAAACTGGGTGGTTCATCGAAGTGTACTTGATTTTAGCTTTTTCATTCATTCAAGACAACGACATGGTCAGTGATTTACTATTAAACAATCTTCGTCCTCTTATTTTAAAGGTTCATTCGCTGTTAACCAGCAAGCTCCGGTCTTTCCTGTGTCATAATCATCTGCAGGCAGACTCCACAACCTTGAACTGCGACAATATACAATGTTGTATATATACACACTACCCAGTGTGTTAGTTTTTTGTGGGGTTTTTTATTTAAACTCTATAGTACAGTTAGATGGATGTATTGACATTTAGTCAAGGCTGTTTTTTTACGGCAAAACTTTTCTTGCATTTTTACATTTATTTTTCGATTTTAGTTGTTTGCCTCCTTTACTATTCAACTGATTAAACGATTAACTGTCAAATTGAAGATTTATATACAGACACTGATGAAGTTTATCATCTGTTAGGACTGGAGATAATCGACATTGTTTGGTCATTGTTAGATGCTGTAAAATAAACCTCCAGGTAGAAGTTTGTATTTTTATTCTGGAGCTCAGAATACTGCCGGCTTCTATTAAGCATCAGTCCAACATGCTTCGTTAAATGCTGTATCTTATATCAGTCAAATCGATTATATGTTTTACATCTTAGACATTTTAAGCTAAACCTAGATTTGCTAGGGGATTTGTAGGGGAATAGATTGGACTGAAAACGGATACTGGATACTTAATTCAGGTTTCCATGCTATTTCACACCCATATCCTACAGAACTCATAATGCTAGTGATCAGAATGCATAACCCTGAACCAGTTGTAACCCAGAAGAGCACAGAACCCTGTTAGTGAACCAAGAATGATTGACAGATGCATTTCGTCTCATTCAGATGACATTATTAAATCCTTATGCAAATGTAGCTATGCAAATCCTGGCTAATATGAGCAGAAAGGTGGCTGTGTTATTGGAGACAAATGAATAGATCCCTGCGGTTGTGTCTTGGGGATTCTCTGCCTTATTAGCAAAGAAGGGAATGGATATAGTCCTTCTCCTGACACTGGAAAGGCTGTCTGCAAACTATCAACCAATTCATCTCTCTGAGAGCAAGAACATTTTTCTTCTTCTCTCATTATTTCTCAGTCTTACGCTTTCTATCTTCATCTCCCAAACACTTGCTCTCCACCAAACCCCCTCTCCCCTATTCTCCTTCACTCTCATATTCACTCACTCACTCCCCTCCTCTCTTCTTTTCCCCGCGTCTGTTCCCCGTCTATAATCTTCAGCACACCGTTCCCTGAACGGAGGCATGCCAGGTACGGAGACAAAAAGGTTATGATAAAAGCCAGGTTGTGTTGGAAGAGCTTCTTACCAGTTAGCAGGATTCAATCAATTAGTTTTCTGTTCGGATAGAGAGAACGGGGGTTATAGAGACCATCCAGGATTTCTCTCGCTGCAGCTCATGACTGCCTTTCCTGCTGGTTGTATTTGAGTGCCAGTATGTTTTAGTATCCCGTAATTATACAGCTAGATTCATTGATTTGTGTGTGTAGCTGCATTCTAGTAGCATCATTAAGGCGCTATGCTGATGCCGTTGCGCTTTCCTTTTCACACGTTCTGGCATTTGTTCACTACACTCGTGCAGGGAGTTTTTTGCAAGACACATAACCCAGAGTTTTGTTGGATTCTTTCTAGGCCAGAGCTCTATAAAACTACACAGTGTTTTCATTTGTCAGTATAGATCGATTTAATAAAATATATTGTAGACTTTTAGACTATTATGTTAGCTAACGTAACGCTGCATTTCACTCTTTGCATCCATCTGCTGATTGGCAGCTGTTCACATGCTGCCAATCAAAGAAAGATTTCTCTTAAATATGGAGGAAGCCAGCAAGAAGGAGTTGTTGTAGTCAGGTCGAGTGTAAGATATATAGAGATTATTTTGAACTGTGAATCATCCAAATCGACTCAAGTTGAGTGCAAGAAAATAACTTTTACTGTTGTTTAACTAACTTCATTTTTTTTATCACTGTTGTATATATAAATTCCTGCAGCTTATAGCATAAGGCCTTAAAAAGGTGCCTGTAACTATACTGTTTTTACACTTTATCGTGCTGCTGTAACACAACAATTTCCATTGTGGGATCAGTAATGTATCTATCTATCTATCTGGAAATGAGCATGATTGTAACTCTCTAAGAAAAAGGAGTTTCTGCCTAAAAAATGTATCCACCTGCTTTCAACGTGAAGGGAAAAGAGCACGCATATATTCCGACATGAGTGCACCAAATCATATTTAATGTTATTTACATTTAGCAATGAATGATTTAGCTTTCCTTCATCACTGGACATACAATTTGCCTACTTATTCGTAGAAGTGAGCGATGTAGCCTCAAAATTGTATCAAAATATACAAATTTGAGATAATTGTATTTATGAAGATACAGGGGGGGAAATACTGAACAGCATTTTGTAGGGGATTGCTGCTTTCTGGCAGCAGCATTTGAAAGCCATTTTCTATCCTTCTTTTCAAATGAGCTGCTGTCATTGATGACAATCAAATGTACTATACGCAATGGCGTTCAACATAAAAAGGTTCTGCCATTTTTTTTATAGTGCATGTTTGAAGTATATTTTTTTATTTCCAGAAAAAGAATCTATATAGCACAATTAAGTGGGCTACATGCTGATGTTAAAGGCTAGAAACAAAGTATTGGTATCGCTACTTGTGGATTTCAGAGAGCACCAGTGTCGCTGTCGCGTTGTGTCTGAATGGCCTTTTCATAGTGCAATAGTTGTGACACTGAATAAAGTAAATGTAAGCACAAAAGCAGCCGCAAGTGAAAGATAATGCAAGTGCTTAACACTTTAGTTACTGCTTTTGCTAAACTAAAGGATTTTAACCTTGTATCTCATCAAGCACCTGCACAATATAATTGAAATTGAAGAATATTTTCTATCTGAGAACGTTGAGCTGAACTTTTTAACCAGTTGCTTAAATCTCTCCTTTTTTGCACAATTCGCAAAAATGATGGGAAACCATCATTTGGAGTGCAAGTAGCGAGCATTACATTTATTTATTTAGTTTTGTTGCACATCAATAGCTGCTAACATCTGCTTACATGCCTTTTTGGGCTGGTTATGCTCAACGTTTTTTATATTTTTGCCTCAAGGTTTGTTGTTTCCACTTCCACTGAGAACATATTTATTGCACATTTTGCAAAGTATTCAGCTTTGTTGGAGGACGTTGAAGTAGCTCCCTTTTTTAGGTACTAAATTGCCATTGGAAGCTGACAAGCTGATCTGGCTCTCAGACATGCCAGGGCTTGCGTTCTTGTTGCTAGGGAACAAAACACATGGTGTCGCTATGTCATTGTTATCAGGATTTTCTTACTTCTTTGTTGTTCTTTCTAGCAATTTTTAAAACAAATGTAAAGACAGATAATGAGATTAATAGGCTGATCAAATCACTTTCCAACTTTTTACAACTAATTGTTGCAAATGAGGATGCTTCTGTCCAGTATAAGATCACCTTAGGGCCAGAAAGCCACTTGTAGTACACTGGTTGAACTCTGATATGTCTGAGAAGAGAAAAAATATTTCAAAATCATCAACCTGCAGATGAATTAGAACTATAGATGTAAATGTAAGTCACCACGATGAAGCTTTTTTCCCCTCCCCCCCCCCTATATTCATCTTTGAGGAAATGGCTATAAACTTTTGCTTCCTGGATGACCCAACTCCTCACTGTCAGGCCAGCCGTGGCTTTCACAGGGAAAGTTACATAAGTCCGGTTCATTCCAGTTCAGGTGATTGCTGTCAGCTGTACACAGTAGGAGACAGACACAAGGATTGTCTTGGAGCTACGTTCGGCAGACAGTGCCGGGCTCGCTCGTGCACACGTTGCAAACGCTCGCTCTCAAGAAGCGTGTTTTCTGCATGTACCGAGCCAAGCTTTCAGAAAACACCTCATACGTGGTCTCTCGTGTTCGCCGTCTCCTTCACCCTCTGCCGCACGTGCATGCATGCGCGCACACAGATACACACACGCACACAAGCTTGTACACTTGCAGAGAGAGTCCCACTCAGGTAAGCAGTGTACGTGTGCAGTCTACAGATTACACACGGGGAGCTCAGCAGGAGACGAGATGGGAGGTGTGTGTGAGTGTGTGTGTGTGTGTGTGCGTAGGGGGGAGTGCTGTCAGAGAGCAGAGGAGAGTTTTACTACCCAACACACGCACTCCGTCTGCTCTGTATGATAATGTGAGAGTGCAAGAACGGCAGAGTTGAAACCAGGACACACACACACAGCCATACACACCGTAAACACACCACACCGCACATCACAAACGCAAACACGTTTACCAACTTCAGCATACAGTCGTCGACCGCCGTGAGATTATCATACGTGTGGCGTCTAGACTCGAGCCATGCTTGCGAATGCAGCACGTTAAAGAGAGGAATAATTCGCTGTTATAATCATGTAAATTTCCAAGGTCATGAGATTTTTGTGTCTTAGCTGGGGAAAAAAATGGAGCGCTCTTTTACATCTGAGAAGTAATGATGACAGGCTTCCTCTGGAGCTGTGGAGGAGATTGAGAATGTGTAATCAAAAAAAAAAGATGAAATTAAAAAGCACATGCATGCATAAGCGATTTGTTTACAGACCTCGTTAAAGCTTCTAAATTCAGCTTGTGTAACATGCATGCGTAGCATTTCCGTATTTTTGTTTATCTTTTTTTATTTGGAAGCGGAGGAATAAA